CCTGACTACTCCTTCACCCTGCTCCAAGTCCACCTCTTATATATCATGCAAGCCCATTACCATCACTTGATACAAGTCTAAACTAGTATCATCTCTTCCTTGGGCACCTTCATGGCAACACCTTCCCAACAGTTTCCTCTGTTTGCCCCCTACCAATATTCACTCTACATTGTCACTAGATCTGATATAAAACTTTCAATACCTCCCTATTGCCTGCAGGATAGTGTTCAGACTCCTGGGCATCACATACATGGCCTTGCACTGTGTGACCTCTGCCTAACTCTTCAGGTTAAACACCACCTCTCTTCATTTGTTGCTCCAGAAATGTTGAACTACTTGTGGTTCTGTGTTCACACCACATTTCAAGACTTTTACATGTGTCCTTCTCTCTGCTTGGGACCGTCCTGTACCTGATGTCCACCTCTACCCTCCTCTTGAGCCAGCAGAGTCTGCTCAGCCATTATCTTTCCTGTGGCTCTTCCTACTCCTTTCCCCTCTGTCTCTGTATATTATACATATTTGTAATAATACATTTATCTGACTTTCTCTTTGACTAGAGCAGATACTTTTTGTGGGAATGGGTCCATTTTCATCAATAGACCACCTACCACCTTATCCTGCAGACTGTGGGACTCAGTAAGCATTTGTTGATATAAAGTTCTGCTTGTCCTTGGGTGAAGCCCACTTCACATAGTATACATAGTATATAGCATTTAGGTAAATCTTTTTTTTTTTTTTTTTTAGGAGAGCAAGGTACAGGCTTTTATTTAGAAATAAAGTGAGAGAATAGAGCTCCTGGCTCACGCCAGGAGGGGACAAGAGAGCCCCATAAATCTTTGTAAGTAATAAAAATGAAGATTTTGTTAAGCAACGGTATTGCTGTTATATAACTAGGAAATTTTAATAAAAACTAATATAAGACATAGAAACATCAATTGCTTGATTCAAATCATACCTTGTTTCCTTAGCAGCAGAACATTTTATCGACTTCTCTTTTTATCATCCGTCAACAGTCTATGAGTATGTCCTCTCCTATCTCTAAAATATGTCCTAAATCTACCCCTTTTCTCCATCCCACTGTCACACTGCCACTCCAGCCACCATCATCTCTCATCCAGATTATTGGAAAAGCCTCCTGACTGGCCTTCTGTTCTCTACTAGCACCTGGAATGCTTCTTTTCAAATATAGATGAGATTTTGTTACTACCCTGCTGCAAAGCTGCCAATTGCTTCCCATCACACCAGTGTTCAGCCTCTACCATTGCCCACACTGAAACGATCTGCCCTCCTGCACCCATGCCACCTCTCTAACTGTGCCTGAACTACCACCCCTTGCATGCTACTCCTGTCTCACTAGCACTGTCTGATCCTTGACATCTTAGGTTCTGGTCCTCATTAGTATCTTAGAGCCTCTGCTCTTGTTTACTGGCCTCTAGATTCCTACATGACTGTTTCCTTAGCTATTCAGATATCAGTTCAAAGGGTATTTCCTTAAAGAGGTCCCTTTCCAGTAACCGAAATGTGGTTTTTAGGGGGGACCTGATATAGGGGAGAGCATAGTAAACATAGTATTCTTCATGTAAGTGTAGATTAAAGATTAAAAAAAAAAAGAAAGAAAGGGGTATTACTCCTTGATAGGATAAAACTATTGGTAAATCAAAGATTAACACATGCTTTAAATATCTTTAATGTTGATCACTTAAAGGGTGTCAGATGATCAGCTATGGAGGTACTCTTTTCTGATAATATGCCTTTCTCTTAA